TTCCACACAGACTATTGATCAGGGTTTCTTAACATCACGTAAGAAGCTGTATCCTCTGTATTGTTGAGTCAATATCTTGAAAATAAATGATGTTTCTAGCTCGAATTTCACATTACCTGTCACGACGTTCCTTAATCAATGTGTATTTATCACGAAGTCTAATTAGTTCAAATATGACGGTATAACGGTGTGTTTTTTGTTTCTGGTTTGGCATTGACCGAAATACATGCCCAGTATTATCCGTTTCTGACGAACCACTTGCTGTGTGTTATAGTTGAACATGAGTATGACGAACTAAGAACTAAACTGTGTGGACCTTTGAGTTTGTTATAACCGTACAACCGTATATATAACCGTGCAAGTGGTTCCACTAGTGTAATGTTAGAATCGGTCTTCAGTAACCCATGCTTGTTGTAAGTGACGACTAACGGGATTGGGTGGTCAGGCTCGCTGACTTGGTTGGCACATGTCATCGTATCCCACTTGCGTAGATTGATGCTCATGCTGTTGATGACTGGATTGTCTGGTCCAGACTCGATTATTTACAGACCGCCGCCATATAGCTGGAATATTGCTAAGTGTGTCGTTAAACAAAGCAATCAACCATCCAACTGATGTGATAAATACGTATGCCCTGTGTTACCTTGAGCTTGTTCGCAGTCATGACCCTGGTCCAAAGTACTTTAAGCTAGCAGAGTGAGTGTCGACGCAAGGTCCCAGGAAACAGGAATAGACAAGCTCTCACTCCCTCTTTGTCCATCAGTGTGAGAATGACACCTACATCCAGGAAGATGATCGATGCTTAAACTATTGGAACAGCGGGAAACCAAGATCAGGTGTCTGTGGTGGTGAGATGGGTCACCATGAAATGGTCAATACGAGGGAAATTGGTTGCTGCTAGACTGATGCCTCGTCCAGACATTAAGAAAATACCATTATTTGGGTCTCATCTCTTGAGGTACTTCTTGAGCGGAAACTAATGTTAACATTCCTTGATTGTATAAGTTGCGCAGAAAAACCGATATCTTCCACCATACATTCATGGCATTACTATTATTGATGTCTGTTCAGGGACAATTTCTGTCCAATTGAGAAAATATCATTGCTATGCGATTCTAACCCTCATAGAATATTAGTTTGGGCTTATATCAAGGCATACGTGTACTCTCACTGGTATCTCTGTTCAGTTTATGGTCATTACCTCCGCGGATGAATGTGCAAGACTTTAACATGAGTTCAACGTCATAGACATGACTCCATCATTTGTTTATATTACTATACTAATTAAAGGGTGCGATTTATACTCTCATTGAAATATTCATAACACTTCAACGTGATATACAAATCATATCTTTCAATCTTGCATAAAATACCTAGGTACCGTTACACAAGTGCCACTGTGATAATTACAACTGACTTTTCTAATCTACAATTATTGATACGATGCTTATTAAACATCTCCATGGTGATAGATTGGAGGTAATTTGGGTCGAGTTCTGGAATGTACTACAATCCTATAGGTATCTCCAGTGACGCTGGGAACAGTGTTTAAAGACCTTGTAATTTTTCTTTGGTTTATAAGGGGAGCTAACTTTTAGCTCGCATCTCAAGTTACAAGAAGACCAATATTGTGTGTAATTGTCCTAAAACCCTGCCTGGGCCATATTTCCAAGTTTGATTACTGGTGCTGAGACTATATTGCTATAATCACTGCTCCTGTTTTATATTACTTTTGAATTTGTGCTGCAACTTTATTTTATACTGCTATAGTGATACATTTATAGTGGAGCGGAAGGTCGCGGGTTCGATCCCCGGCCGCGTCATACCAAAAGACGTTAAAATATGGTACTTGTATGTCCCTGTCTGGCGCTCGGCATTAATGGGTACAACAAGAACTGGTCGGCTTGGAGTCAGTATAATGTTTCTGAGTGGGGTATTCATGCTTCATTGCGGCATGGTATCTCAGTGGGCTAGCACTATAAAACCAGCTTCAGTCTGGGCTAGTACAAACAGCCGCACATACACATACACACGCATGCACGTCGTCATATGAGCGAATATTCTCAAGCACGACGTTAAACCCAATTTCACCTCACCTCACCTCACCTCCCATTTATAGTGATTCGTATTGATTTGTGATCTCAGTTAATTTTAGAATGCAATTGTCAATTATGTCAGAATTTTTGGTTGGTTGTTTGGTGTCACACCTAGTTCTTCTTCGGAATGATTCCTGGTTAACGTGTTAGGTTTCAGCTTGGGAATCAAGACTTGACAGTATGAATGATTTAAATATTAAATAAACTTCTAGATGCAGTTACAGTAATATTTACAGTTACATATCCAATTACAGTACATATTTCATGGGTATATTAATTAGCATAGGTATGATCACTTTTACATCGGTTAAACCAACAGGAAACAGTAACATGAACACGCTGGCTAGTTTGAAATTGAAACGTTCACGACGAAGTTCATGTGACTGTTCATTGGCACACAATACATGTAACACATCAGTATAGACAGGGATATTCGGACCAGAATCAGACGCCTTCATCATGAAACTGACGTCTGGCTTAACCAAACTCCCGGAGAGTAATGAATGGTTTACATTCTCCACACATGGCGAGTATATTGGCGATGTATTGCATCCGAAATTGTTTATGGGAAACTCAGATAAAATATATCTTGTGTAGAAATGATGGTCAATAAGTCAGTAAACAACTGATCAGGGTAGTGAATAGCGGATTTGCTACCTCAGTACCTTCAGTTTGTTGTGCCTGTCAAGAGCCATAAACTGAGTTGCAGAATATACCGAATGGACAAAATAAGACACATCATCAATATCAAGTCAATGGGTGAGGTATTTTGGGTTATTTGTGTTCAGGTACAGATACACGGTCAATCAACGAGCACTTGTTAGGGCTCCTTGTCTCTAGGCAGGAGACCTATTGTAATCGTTCGGATTATTATTATTGTTATTTATTATTCCGCCTATTTTTGTACCAAACATACCTCCTAAACCAATGCTCCGAATCGCTTACAAAAATCACACAGATGCCCACCGAGGTGAAGATATTCCCCTTAAAAGTCTCCAGGCTCCAGGCCCAATAGCAAATAGGAGATAATTCAAAATTAATTCCAAAATTTCAAAGTTTGACAGCAAATATCTCAAGAACTAATTGTTCCAACACTTCCAAATCTCTTGTACAGATGCACAATCGAATTCGCAGCAATTGTGCCTGGTCGGGTCAAGTCGCTAAGATGTACCGTTTGGCAGTTATTTTTGTTTTTAGTTTTTGGCCATGTTTTTCAGCAGTTTTCTGAGTAGTTTGCTCCCAAAATGCCCTGAGCACGAACCATCAGCTCCAGACATTCCAAACTTTCCATAACTGATGTCCAGTAACCATTGTGCAAATTCTGCACAAAAAGTGCCAGTATGGTAGATGAAGTCTTGGTGATTCCAGAACACTAATTGTTTTGACCGTAGATCCAAGAACAACTGAGATACAGAACTATTTCTTCTCCAGAACGTCTTAAAAGGTACATCACCCCCGCGACCCCGGCTGTATTTGGAAGATCCGCTCGCCTGTCAAAAACGTGTTCTGGCTCCGTTTTGGACGATGATTTCTAGCCCTCAAATACAATAGATAGAACTAAAGCCAAGGAGCCCGTATCGTTGCTTGCAACTATATTTCAAAATAAAATATGGACAACTGTTAAGAAATTCTAACAACAACATAGACAGTCTTAAACAACTTTATACATAACAACTTCTTGCTTATTACAACGTTTCGCGCTTCTAGCTTGAAAACGGCGTGAGAATTTACACCGAAACGTCGCTCTATGCAATAAACAAAATTTGTTGTCCATAAAGTTGTATGCTTTATTATCAACTCACGAACTTCTTGAATGCCGATCAAACAATTACAGAGACAGGTCACAGGTTCGTTGTAGATGCATTCTTGGAGTATGATAGCGATTATCACATACAGAAGCAAGTAATGAACAGAGATCAAGGATATATTAGAATAAAGGACAAGAGAGAGTCATCCATTTCATGTTCAAGAATTGGCTTGTCCAATGTACGATGGAGCTTGTGTCTACATTTTACAAGGATGCTTCAGATTTATTACGTGGTTTATAGAGATGTATACTTTCTGTGAAACCAAAAAGCAGATATATTGTGCTAAAGAATACCACACGGAACGTTCACATTTATCGTTTGTTTAAAGCACAGATCATTAATCATACAGAGAAAACACGTCTTGTTTAGAACGCATTCTGATTTAAGCTGGTTCCCCAAGGACAAATTCGCATTGAAACCTCAAAGGAGAGAAAACCATATTGAAATCACATATTGAAACGTGAGTGCAAGAACAAGTGGATTTTGATTTATCCAGTGCTTTCATTTTGATCAATTAACAAATCGATCTGAAACCGAACAGAACGATAAAACGACGTTTATAACGTTGAAAAATACATCTGATTCAGCTCTTTGCAAAGCCAACATAAATCTCTGTTTAATGGTCGACATTTTGCCAGAAAAAAGCATCAAGGCAATCAATCAGTGCTTGGGACATGTAAGACGTATCGTCTTTAAGAATGGAAACAGGTCCTTGTGTTTTCAGATGTAACAGACAACATCGCCTTTGCTTGTCATAAAACCTTGTAAAATGTGTTATATTTTTTTGAAGGTTTGGAGAATGCTATCAGTTTGCCATCATTTCTTGACATGTCAGCAGTTTCATAGCTTAGTTATTTTCCACGATTGTAGGAGTATGAATTTGGGCTGCAATTCTATTTTAGACTCTATATAAGTGACATAGATATTGAGAGTTTGTTATGTTTGTAACGGCAATAACACAGATAGAACCATCGGATCCCTAGACAAATAAGTTGAGAGGAAACTCGTACTAATACATGTCTCAGACACTTTGGGGACACCCACGATGTTGTGTTAGAAACGTAATCGGGGTTAAACAGGATTCGAACCCACGATCACAGGTTTCTGGTGTGGCCAAGTCGAAGTACGGCGGATTTGGCAACTGTGCCATACTTGCCACCTTTAATGAATTGTGAAATGACAACCAACCATCCATGACGATTACAGGAACTGTTGCCAAGAGCTTGGGTTTTTAATCATGTTTTTCTTTTTAGAAGCATGGGTGTTTTTACTTTTATCACATAAAGTCTTGAGGATTAAAGTCTTGACCAAAAACGCCATCACTGTGTTGAAAGAGCTGCGCATTAAAGCTGGGATGACATACTAAGGTTATTAATCATGTTTTCATTTTCAGAAGCACAGGGAGGGTAACTGTAGTGCTGTCATATGCATAATGCAAAGTCATATGGATTAGAGTCCGAAAACGCCATTTTGTGTTGAAAGATTTGCGCCTTTTGTGACATGCAATAATCCAGATCACACTCTGTAAACAAACGATCGGCATCAGGTGGGCTCCTCCTACAGACAATGTGCTACATGAGGACATTGGTTCCGAATTAAGCATCAGCAATAAATTGTGTGTACATATCAAGTTATAAGACATAACGCGGACAACCTACATCCAGTCATCCTCGATAATCTCCAGGGTATACGTTACGATCAATCTCCACTATACCCTGGATGCATCCACGGCTTGGTCCGACGATTTTATTAACTCCCTTGGCTGGCGTTTAATCCAATCAGGTGTCTACGCTGGGAAGTTGAGCAAACCAATTACAACTCACTTTCGCTTCTTAAATTATCTAACCGTTTAAACTTGGCAACACAATTGATGCAGAGGGTACTCTGAAAGATGTGGAAGGTTTTTTTAATATATTTTTTGAAAGTTTCAGATATGTCAATTTGTCTGTTTTATTTCTCCAAAAATCTGAGTTGTACTGCGAACAAACCTTTGCGACTGTGACCGCTATCTTTGTTGACACTGGCAAGCTCGGATGTAACGACGGCTTAGCTGATTGGCTACTGTGAGAATGCAGAGCCAGCAAGCCGTGGATGCTTTGGTCAAGCCGTGGATGCATCCAGGGTATAGTGGAGAGTGATCGTAACGTATACCCTGGCGATTATCGAGGATGACATCCAGTGAACTTTACAGTTTCTGTCAATAGCTGCCGACTTATATGACAAAGCTAGAAGCCATTCCGATCAGATCTGTTTAGGCAGAAGGGCATATTCATTTCCATTCAGCTGAACTACGGTGTTAAGCTCAAGAGAGAGAAGCAAGGTAAGAGTCCAGATCCAAGATCAGATGGATTCAAACCCATCATGTAGAAACGCATTCAGCCGATCCCTTGTCCAAATCATGAGGATGTGTGCTGATGACAAACAAGTGAAGATCTGGGTTATAACTGATCTTCAGTAACCCATACTTGTCGTAAGAGGCGACTAACAGGATCGTGTGGTCAGACTCACTGACCTGGTTGACACATGTCATCGTATCCCCATTGCGTAGATCGATGCACATTCTGTTGATAACTTGATTGTCTGGTCCAGACTCGAGTATTTACAGACCGCCGCCATATAGCTAGAGGATTGCTGAGTGTGGTGTTAAACACCAAACATAATCATAAAGCTATGGTAATCTGTTAAGGACCCCATGTGTATGTTTCACTGAGTTACATATAGTACATTATGGTATTCCTAGACATATATTTAACATTTGTTTGTTGTAGTAGTGGTCCGAGTAATTGAAATAATCGAAGATTGGTCGTAGTGACTAAACGACCAAGCAAACGATCATAATTTCTCATAATAGAACACAAACAATTCTGGAACACTTGTTTTCATTAACAATATTTTTCACATGGTTGGTTTTGTCTGTTCCATTTCGTAAGCACTACAAGCTCGTGTCAAGTCATGACTGAATTTATTTTAAAGATTCCAAGAAATTTATGTGATGTGAAATTTTGCGAAAAAACCCCGAAAGAACTACATGTTTTTTTCCTTATTTTTATGTGCATTAACAAATTTCATAAACGACGCTAACCAATTATTTCCGATAATTGATCGGTAGTAATGAACCAATCTTGAGTTATGAGGTTTTAACCAATTCCCAACACTAGTTTGTTGTCCGATTCGTTGCTTCGATTAAAGTTACGACAGAGTGTGTTTTCCAGGTAACATGCTGATAATAATGAGGGCTTGTCTTAGTTTGATAACTGTTTATCTGCATAACGATATACTCCACTGTCTTTCCTTTTTCTATAAATAATGACTGCGTCTATAATAAACACCCTCCTGCCCTACCATGACAACACAAGAAGGAACTGTTCTAACTGATTTTAGTCACTATGTTGTTTTGTTGGTAGTTCTTAGCGAGCTGTACCCGGGAAAATCCGGGTTAGAATTGATCTTCAGTACCCCATGCTTGTTGTAAGAGGTGACTAACGGGATCGGGTGGTCAGGCTCGGTGACTTGGTTGACACATGTCATCGGTTTCCAATTGTGTAGATCGATGCTCATGCTGTTAATCACTGTATTGTCTGGTCCAGACTGGAGTATTTACAGACTGCGGCTATATAGCTGGAATTTTGCTGAGTGCCGCGTAAAACTAAACTCACTCACTCACTCGTAGTGAACTGAAGGTTGTATTCCTCTTTGATGACGTTGAGGATGCATTGGTCGGTTGCAATGATTTTACAATGTTCTGTAAATGGTGATAAGCGGCCGCCTAAAGGACCCTGGAACACCTTGTAGTCAATGATTGTAGTTATAGATGGTTCGAAACAACCGCTATGATATGAGATAGTGTCGAATCAGATTAAAGAGGTGGCGGTCGCGTCGTCATCAATGGTGTATCGAGTTAGTGGCTGTTAAGGTCAAAGGGGTGATACTGTGGACGACCAATGCAAACACCTTTCTGACTAATTTTATATCCACGAAAACTGTATACTCTGTCTTTCTTACATAAACATAACCTTGTTTTGAAAGTACAGTGTAAAACATATGCAACTTGAGACGCAGAAACACCTACTCCTTTCCGTTATTTGCTAAGACACAAAAAGGTTAACTTCAAATCGATTGCAAATAACACAAGTTTGAAATGTCAGAATTGATTTTCGCATTTGTAAGACTTCATCCTGACATTTTATAGTGCCAATATGCTCGGCAATATGTTCTTTTTCTTCCAGTCTCTTGTAAAATATCTGGTCATCCTACTCATGAGAAATGAATGACATGTTCTACCAATGTTTTCTAAAAACAGATTTCTTCTTTAGCGAAATTCAAATTAACGCAAGGACTGGAATCGGTGATAACAGAAGACTGTGATGTGCACTCGCCTTACATTTCCACACAAATGTCTTGTCTTGTAGGACTGAATTTCTTTTTGGGATTACCCGAGGAGATTTTACCCGGGTTAGAATTGGTCTTCAGCAATCCATCCTTGTCGTAAGTGGCGACTAATGGGATGAGGTGGTCAAGCTCGCTGACTTGATTGACACAAATCGTATCCTAATTGCGTAGATGGATGCTCATGCTGTTGGTCACTGGATTGTTTGGTACATTACAGTTATTTACAGAACGTTGTCATATCGTTGGAATTTTGTTGTGTGCAGCGTTGAAATTGTTATTAATAGTCTGTGGGCATTTTTGTCGCGCTCACGGGCTTCACCTGACACATTTTGCGCTTTTCTACCCTTCTGAAGAAGGTTTGATAAACTGAAAAGCTGTTGGAGGTGGTGCGTTCGCATTGACAGATATGCATTAAGACATTGGTAATGTATGTTTACGGCGAAAGAAATGTCAAAGCTTCAAATGAATGTCTGTAAATTAAACAATGACAAGATGCATTACAGGAAGATGATCTATGATAAACTATTGGACCAAAGAGGATGAATGAATAGTCACGGTGGAGACTGCATTGTGGTCAATTCAACGTGGAAAAAAGAAGAGAACTACAGGTCAGGCGTCTGTGGTGGTGAGATGGGCCACCATGATATGGTCAATATCAGGGAAATTGGTTGTTGTCAGAATGAAGCCTCATCAAGAATTCAAGAAATTACCATTAGTTTGGCCTCGTCTCTTCACCTCCTACTCGTGCGGAATCTAATGTTAGATTTGCTTGATTGTAAAAGTAGCACAAAGAATCTGTCATTCAGGGCATTACTATACTAGACAGGGATGTCTGTTCAATGAAATTCTGTCAGATTGGATAAATACCTCGGTCTACTGTAGAAAATGGTGAAGAATTCTATCCCAGACTGGCTATTGGCATGGATCATGGTTTCAATCGCCAACACCATAGAGGATAGTCATACTGGAATCTCTATGCGGTTTTAAAGTGTGATATTTAGAATTACAGACCTATTTAGCATTATATATTCCTGATATAATATATCATTTAGTGTGGAAAGATACATCAGTGTCAGTCCTCGTGATAATTACATTTGGCATTGTAATGCCTTTGAACATTTCTAAGGCACTAAGTATGATACTGTCTATGAATTTTGTAATCGAAGTGCTGGCTTAATTCCTGCATTTAACTATTTATCACACTTCACCATGGTTTAAAATACATGGTTTTAATATTACACAGGTGTTCTGAATATCTTTATGAGACAATTTTCGTTATTTGAAACAGGTGTTGTGTAACCAGTTAAAAGTTGAGTGTTGTGTAACCAAACTAGGTTTTTCAACGTTTTTCAACTTTCTGTTGCCACCTCGATATTTATATTATAACTCCATTCAAGCAGTTTTTTACCAAAAATATCAACCAAACAAAACATAAGGTTTGTGAATAATTAAAATTCAATTTCGGTGTCCTGGGGATTAGTATTATTTTTCAATTGAATATTTTTAATTGTTAACTTCGTCTATAAAGTAGTCGTGGCAGAGTTATCTCCCTTTCGTTTTGTTTACATCCGGCATCGTCTGCTTCATTTGTCATCATGGATCACACTGTTTCCCCGTCCTGTGTGTAATAAGTAGATCAGAAAACTCATGGATGTTGAAAATGGAAACTATTCCAACGAGATATTTTAAACGTTTTGATTTATTCACGAGCGAGAATAAATCAAAATGTTTAAAAATATCTCGTCATGTGACACACCTTACAGAGGATTCATATTTTTTTATTTAGTTCTTTTTCTTGTGTATTTTTGTATTCAACTATAATACCAAGGTTAAATAAAAACATATCGAACACATTGTGTTATGTACGAAATATTAGAATAAGGGTAAGTGTTACAAAGAGGATATGCAACGGAGGCGGTTCAACGATTCCTCATTGATTGTGTTCTTGAAGCACAATGCCCAACACGTTTAGGTGCAGACACAGGGAGTAATCCCTGGCGGAGCACATTTACCAAGACCTTCCCATAACTACACCAAATTTAATGAGAGTGCCGGCGATGCAATTCATCCCCCGCAATTCATAGATTGGTAGATGAAGGATACTGGGCGATATTGATCTGGTGTTCATTGAGGCAAGGCAAATATATAGTGAAGGGTAGCGTGTAGACCAATTGTTAACTCAGTACATTTAGTTGTTGTGGAGCTCATGGCGATCCTTTAGGTGAGGCCCAATCATACATACGGGGGATGTTTCCATATTTTCAAAATATTTTCTTTTCTCACATTTACTTGAACAGAAACTTGCATAGTTACATTGATTAAGAAGATCTCAGTGCTCTGACATAAGGTCTGACTTGAAGGACATTCTACTTAGCCTGGCTATGCGAATCCTAACATATGCAGTATAATTAAATACTCTAAACATGCTAGCTTAAACTATGTGTCATAGACACCGAATACAAGGATCAATTAAATTGTCACTATACATACGGGTACTGTTACAGCGCTATAGTCCATCCCATGTACATGCATGCTCAAAGCGCTTTGAGTTTTCCCTCGGCACATCATATTGTGGTTATCATATAACTTGTCACTTTAGTTGTGTATGTGTGAGGAAGAACTATATACGGAAGTAAACAGAAATTTCGATTATATGAATTGATTATCTTTAAACAACAAACCAAAGTAATGACTCAATTATTTATGCACATAGAGAGAATAACGATCAAGGAAGGAAGGGAACTAAAGTCTGTTTCAATTCAGCATGTTGCAAATTTGATTATAAATAACATAAGTTCAATTTTAGAGCAATGTTCTCAATTTGTCCCATGTAAAGAATCAATTATGGTAAAAGCGTTTACATACAGTACAACCAGAAATTATTGAGAATTTAAGATTGTAATTTTTTATTTCTTTTTCACTCATTACTCACGTATTAATGTGAATATTAGCAGAACATAACTCCAGATTCAAAGACAGGTGAACAGTTAGTATTTTGTCAAGACACCATGGGCAGCAATGCAGGCTTCAATGCGGCGGGGCATACTACTGATCAAAGAAGTTAGAAAGTCGTGGCCCATGCTGTCCCAATATCGGACCACCTCTTCTTTCATTTCAGCAATATTTGTCAGATTTTTCTTATTGACACATTCCTTCATAAGTCCCCAAACATTTTCTATTGGATTTTAGGTCAGGGCTATAGCTTGGCCAATCTAATAATGTCATATTTTGGGTCCGAAACCAGGCCTGTGAATGCTTTGAACGATGTTTTGGGTCGTTGTCCTGCTGGAAATCCAAAAATTGCCATAGAAGACGTGAGCAGATGGAAGTAAATGTCCCTCGAGAATATATGTGTACCGCTCACTGTTCATATTCCCTTCAAATACACAGAGGGGCGTTGCCCCTAACACAGATATGCCACCCCACACGTTAAATGTCGGACTGTACTTTGGGCGCTGATACAAAGGTTTTTCAGTTTGTTTGGTCCAGAATTTCAGTGTATGAGGAAACAGCCACACAGAACTTTCATCTGAGAAAATCACATTGTCCCAGTTAAATTTCTATGCTGTAAGCACCAGTTCAACCTTCGCTCCTTTGGTTCAGGTTTCATGATCGGTGATGGAATTCCTCGACTTTTCTGCCAACCTATTTCATGCAGCAGTTCTAATTGTCTCCTTACAGCCAGCCACAGTTCCTCTGTCAATCATATCCAGCCTTACGTTTTCTAAACTCCTTCTTTTGTTTTTAGAAACAAGAATACCAAGCCGCCTCCTGTCACCGACTGTCAATTTTCTGGGCCTACCTGCGCCTCCCTGGTGCTCAATGCCATATCCATTTGCAATATTTTTTCAAAACACGATAAACAGTGGACAAAGGGATGCCTGTTCTACTTGAAATCACTTTAGCTGATTTGATGTCCTTGTTATAATACTCTAAAATCAACTTCCTCTTCTCTAAATCATCCATACTGAGGATCACGGAAAATGTCGTCTGCTAGCAAGTAAACAAAGGGGGATAACTCTTCACAAACTAATGAAAAGGATTAACGGAGTTGTCTCTCTTGAATGAAACCAAGCACTTGATAGCTGGTCAAGGTTGTTTATACTAGAAATCCAATTAAACATATTCCTAAAATTCTCAATAATTTCTGGTCATACTATAGCGAAGAATAATAAGCAGCACAACCTGACTTACATTTTGCTCCAAGATAACTGGCTTGTCTTTACTTCAGCTCCCTTCCCCAAACCGGGTAACAAAAACATAACTGTGGTTGTTTGAGTAAAACTAGTTTTATGTCGATGTATTTATTGCGGCTTGATGTGTCTTCATAACTGCACCATATCTTTGTGTGAGTGAACAATTTGCACTGCTTATCCGTAAAATAAGCAGTGCAAACGTCTGTTTTTAACTGAAAATGGAAACCAAAATTCTTCACCTTCAAACTTTTGTTGCTTGCAGTGAATCCAGGTGCAAAAGTGTTTGGGCATATTGATGAAACTGGATTCATGGGAAAACCTTAAATTAGATATCAACATTTAACTTGCACACAATATAGAGTCAAGGCTCGACAAAGTCTGCTTTATATATCCCGTAACGCGTTCACGGGGCTATTAAAATGGACTCTGTCCGTGCGTCCGTCCGTGCACATTCGTCTTTTCCGGAGCAGAACTTTAAAATCGTTCACTATTTCTTCCCCAATCTTGGCATATACATAGATCTTGTGATGTACTGGTGCCTTTTGGTAGTTTGGGATTTCTGTATAAAATATGTTTTGCGTTTCCATGGCAACAAGTTTGACTTCTACTGAAATTGGTGGTAGTGTTCTTTTCCGGACCAGAACGTAAAAACCGTTCACTATTTCTGCACCAAACCTGGTACATAGATAGGTCTTGTAGTGAACTGGTGCCTTTTGGTAGTTTTGGAATTCTGAATAATATGTTTTTGCGTTTCCGTGGCAACCATTTTGACTTTGACTTTGGTGCTATTTTCCGGAGCAGAACTTAAAAACCTTTCAATACTCTCCTTCCACTTGGCTATATACACTCCGAAACATTTGACATAATCACTAGTAGACATATACATGAAGAGTATTTTGCCATTGCGGGGGATATTGATGACTTTCTCTCTTTGTTTGACTGAATATGGAAACCATAATTCCTTCACCTGCAAATTGAGAAATGTTGTGAATCCTGGTACAGCAGTGTTTGGCTGTATTAATGATACTGGATGCACGGGAAAGACACAATATAGAGTCGAGGCTCGATAAAGTGAATGAGTGACTGATTGGTCAGTGTTTGGCTGTATTAATGATACTGGATGCAGGGGAAAGACACAATATAGAGTCGAGGCTCGATAAAGTGAATGAGTGACTGATTGGTCAGTGTTTGGCTGTATTAATGATACTGGATGCAGGGGAAAGACACAATATAGAGTCGAGGCTCGATAAAGTGAATGAGTGACTAATTGGTCAGTGTTTGGCTGTATTAATGATACTGGATGCAGGGGAAAGACACAATATAGAGTCGAGGCTCGATAAAGTGAATGAGTGACTGATTGGTTTCATACCGCTTTTAGCAATATTGCAGCAATATCATGAAGACATCAGTACGTCAGAAAGGGTCTTGACACATTACACCGATGTGGGGAATCGAAACTGGGTCTTTGGCGTGACGACCGAAAGCTTTAACTACTGTGCTATATCACTGCCTGAGGCTGAACAACGACCAGTAATCCTAGTCCCAATCACAACACTAAAATCGCTACCTCATCAGAAATCACTCTCCCTCTGATAAACAGAGCTGAGCGAGCATTCAGACAGATTAAACATCAAAGATCAAAGGCGACGCAGACTTACTGAAGCAGCCATTCAGTTAGTTGAGGTATCACCCAAACATTATGAATGTGTCTGGAACCTGCATTTATCGGTAATGCTAATTTAAGAAGACCGTCTATTGGGGATATTTAGGGAAGGAGGAGGGACACTACACTTCTAAACTAACGTCCACTCCATCACATCAGGACCGCAAACGTGTCTCGTTCCTCTTGTGGTTTTAGTTTGTTTTTATGTGGTTGCCATCGGACCAGAGAGTAATTGGATCTCAAATGGATCCTAATTGGATTCTGATGGGAATGAATCACCTGTCCAAACATTAAGGCATCTGAACTTGTTTTCCATAAGACAAAGTGTTTCCAATGGACCATTTCATGTGAATGAATTGACACCGCACACCGGGCGACATTTGAATATAGTGCTAGTTCGCCTAACTGGTCTGACGACCAACTCAGGATATGCTCACCTTTCACAGAAAACTTGGTTTCATCACTTTTTGACAGTTGTTACGAGAGTGTGTTTTTTTGTAATTTGTATTATCATTGGTTAAGTGATAGTTGTTATTTGGTCACAATGTTTAGTGTTTTGAGTGTGGGTTGTGGGTCACATTTCGCATCATTTCGTAACAAAATTATTTTAAAAGCTCATGATCAGTCCGAATCGTTGAGTTCACTTTGCTCTTAGCACCCATTTCGTATTATCATTGAACATATTTCTTTCACTTCTAGGAACAATGTGTTAAACCCATTTCCGCCGTGATATTGCTGGAATATTGCTAAAAGCGGCGTAAAACTAAACTCACTCACTCACTCTTTCACTTCTGTCGCAAACAAACACAATTCATTTTGACAACACTTGATGACACCATACTGGAAGGAAACCTTTCACTTTGATGTATCCTTTGCTTTCATTTTGCGCCAATTCACAAATCCATTTCAAATATTGGTGAAACATAAAAAGATGACAGTTTTCTAGCTTGGTTTCTAGATTTGAACGACTGAGTCAACCCTTTCCTAACCCAGCATCTGTTTGAAAGTAAATGATGTGCCAGGAAACAAGTTATGTAATCGATCAATGCCGTGGATAGACACACTAGATATACAATGTAATGATCTCATTTTACTCGAAGCGGTAAAACAGCATCAGTTGTCACTAATAGTTGTTAGCTTATAAACGTATGTTTTAAAGGGTCATCTACAAAGAGGATGTGGTTGATGTTGTAAATTCACAGTATAAATGTCATGGAAACTAGTTTAAAGAAATATACGACTTCGGGGAACATTGGTCAGAAATGGGAGTGTTGAGAAAATGACGAATATTAATGTTACTAAAGACAAGAGTTTGTTTATGGATGACAACTTCTTTATTGTGAAGGGTCACGACGTTTCGAAGTATGTTCTTACTCCATCAGGTGAATGAAACAATTAGGAACAAACAGCTATGTATGTACATGTTGAAACAACAACAGTATAACAAAGGAAGCCAGTAGATTGTTAATCCAGGCATGATTGATAAGAAAAACAAATAGAAGCCAGGGGGGTATAATTAGCACTAACTGGGTGGATGGACAAAAGGAAGCCAGGGATTGTTAATCCAGGCGTAGTTGATGACTGACTGAGTTTTGGTTTTACGCCGCTTTTAGCAATATTCCAGCAACATCACGGCGGGGGACACCAGAAATGGGCTTCACACATTGTACCCATGTGGGGATTCGAACCCGGGTCTTCGGCGTGACGAGCAAACGCTTTAACCACTAGGCTACCCCATCGCCCCGCGTAGTTGATGAGGTAACAATAGTGGCATATAACAGGGTGGTAAGAACACAAATGGAAGCCAGGCCTAATAGTAATAAATACAAGGCCAAAGAGACCAGCAGTGATGGTAAATTAAATTAATAAGTCCCAAGCGCTCGGCAGATATGTTCCCTGGTCACGATTGATTGCTGGTTGGTTTCTTCTGATGTCTATGTTACTTATACTGATATAAGTGAACTTGTGATTGTCATTGTGATTAGACAGAAATACGAACATCACATTGGTACAATAGATGGTGATGTTTAATATAAAGTATGACATACAATGCCAAGTCTTTCTTCTGAACATGTGCAAAATATTATTTTATAATAGGTTCTAAGATAAGGCAAGAAATAGATATTGTCGTTTGATACTGTCGTGTTTGCCAATGAGAAAAGCTAGTGAGAATCATTTCATAAACATCGCGTTGTGATGTTACACATTCAAGAAACAGTGGCGTTTGACATTTGATGACATAAATAACCCAAACTGACAATCAATCCTTAATGACAATCACTCAAATCAAGCTTCTTGAAACTCATCTCTTGTTCTATTGCTTGAAAAACCATGTGAAGGTTTTAAGGAGCTGAGTTTACTGATGATCAAATATTTTAATAAAAACCTCCAGTGAGTGTTTCTTATTTTCGTCCTAGCATATTAGCATAGTAATGCCACTTCGATATCACAAATCTAGAGCAAACACCAAAACAGTGTTTTGTTCAAACAGCAACGATTTACGTCTTTGAGGTAGATTGGCCTGCCAGCCCCGATCGGCATCAAATGGGCTCTTATGATAGACATGACTTAGCTGAGATTTGTCTTCATTGTCAAGCATCACTTTGATGTACATGGCTGTTTATAAGACAGTAAGAGAAGAATTACATTGACGGCGAATGTTGTATAGCTTCTTACGCTTCTGCTAGGAACAAAATGCAATGAAGAAAAATATGACATACGTACGCCAAAGGGTATACTAAGTGATACAGGTGAACTATATATATATGAAAAACAAACCTGTTGAAAGATGCACAGGGGACGTTGAACCATCACAGTCTGTTCTCCCTGAAGTTGCTGTTAAACGCGACATGCAGGGAGAAATTAGTTTTAGTGGCTCAATGACTGAAAATCAGATTTACCGAAATAAAACACCAATAGTTACCTGGAAATGTAATATTTTGTAAACGGCGGGGACAGAAATGCACATTTTGCTCATATTGTACCCATGTGGGGAATCGAACCCGGGTCTTCGGCGTGACGAGCGAAGGCTTTTAACCACTAGGCTACCCCACCGCCCTATGTTCAAAGTGACTTGTGTTCCCTTTTTACGGTCACATTGTTACAACATAACACATGTATCACCTAAGGTGAGAGAAGCTGACTGTAGTTTATCTGTATGTCTTTGTTGATGGTGAGCAGTAAGGATGTAGTTGGAACATCTTTAGAATTGGAACATTGCAGGTCGTTTTTTTCTTACGTTAGAACCTGAAGGTAAAATGCGTATTTACTTTTAAAAAATACAAGTTGGAAATGTGTTAATTGATCTTCATGTGGCGCGTTGGGCGAGCTGGTTAAAGCGCCAGGCTAGTGATCCATCGAGGTTGAAGTGTCGGGATCGAGCCCACATGTGACCGGGTGTAAAAACCTTGGAGGCAACATTGTGTGCAGGCTCTTTCCGTGTTGTCACAACCCCTAGTGTACAGTACACAACCCTGTGCACTTAAAAGAACCCACGAATCCGTTGGTATTTGACCAGATGGTGGCCACATGAATACGTGCAAACACCTGTGTTCCCAGTCCAGTCCACCTAGCTGTAAGTGGGTACCGCGTTAGGTGAAAGCCACATAAGTGGCTGCAAGAGCAGCAAAAAATACCAGAGCCTTGAGCAAGCACTAGTGCGTGGATATGTGCGCTATATAAATATCCTATAATAATGTATATGACTTTGCAGTTACAAAGACATCATAAAGCTGCAATACTGCTGGAACAAATATATACTCTTGATATAGTCACAATTGTACAATCGACTTTGCTTTTAACAGATATTTCTTATGGATGTGGAAAGGGTTTTCTCGATTCTAGTACTTCACTTCCAATCTCTTGTAAAGGTCAGTGGTCATTTTACTGACAAAAGCCAGACCTTACACTTGTAGCAAATGTATTCTTAAAGGCATACTTTTCTTCGGCAAGATAACACAAGAATTAGGGATTGGATGCAGTAAAAGGCTGGGTGATTACTCCCTCCTTACACTTCTATACAAAGTATTTAGTAGTGTTGTTTATAATCGTGCATGTAGCTGTAACCTCATCTGCACTGTTGATGCAATAGCATATGACTTTTTTCAAACAGTACTAAATCGTATTGTTATATACCATTCAAAAAAGGTAGGGGATATTGGATTTACAGGATTGATAAAATGCAAATGATGAAGCCAGGAGGAAACAGATGATGAAGAGAAATTAAGGGAAAATATGATAATTTATTCCCTTTCTTTTAAAAAATGTTTCATTTGTATGGATATATATTACTTTTTCTCATATGCATTGGTATTGGCTAGTGGTATGCTCGAAAAATGGAATATCCCGATCTTTTTTTGATTGGTATACCTTCAAATCTTTGGGTATTTAGAAGTGGAATGCATAAGAAAAGCAATATTTATGGATGTGTTATGAGAGAGTGTTTTTGTAATTTGTATTTTCATTGATTAGGTGATAGTAATTAAGGGTCACAATGATTAAAGTTTTGAGTGTGGGTTTTGGCTCGCATCACGCATCACATATGTTCAATGGCAATAGTATATTGTAGCGGCACGCCTTTTATAGCGCTTCAGAGTTGCCTCCCTTGGCTGGCTTTATTTTGTTTTGACTTCCGGATCTTGTCACGTCGTGTTTTTTCCACATGGTGTTCTGAGAGAATAATGATGGAGCCTAGCTCTGCCAGAATGCTCGAGAGTGAGTGAGTGAGTTAGTTAAGATTTAACGTCATATCGGCATTATCTCAGCCATATCGTGACGAGAACAATGTAATTCATATCAATAAAACAATAAATTGAGAAAACAAAAACCTGTCATCAAGCACAGTAAACCTACTAGACTATCGCAGCTCTTAATTTAAAACTAGTACGCTATCATAAAAATATATCACTATAGACAACAATACAATATAAAACCGGGCTATATATCACCAACAACTGAAAGAATGCTCGAGAACTGTGTAAGAACTATATAAATGCTGGTTGTTGAGTTGTGCGACTTTTCACATGACTTTTCACAAGACTGGATTTCTGCCATCATCAAGTTGTTCAACGTGCTCGTCTATTCAACTGCTGTCTTTGTAAACAACCTTCAGTCAGTATATTTGTTCTCAATGTGAATGTAAAGACTCTGGTGAGTTAATATTTTATATTTGATTTGTGACTCAATTGCATTGTACTCGAAATCTGTATTGTCATTCATTGTAACTTGCTCATTGTTTGTTCAATATAGTATTGAATATTTTAGACTTGTCTGTGTTTATTTTGCTGGTTCAAAGGGGACTTTAAACCTTTTGTCACGGCAAATTTAGATGTCACAATGTCACTCACAATAAAGAAGTTGACATCCATAAATCTTTCTTTTCTTGTTATACCTTGATTACGTTTTTAATTTGCCATTACTGTCAAGGCAGAGTCAAACAACAAACCCACGATGGTTCAGAGTTGCCTGAAAGGATCTTCTCGTCGTGAGTTTGGATCTCTAATGGACTCAAGTGGTGATCCTCTGTGGGAAACATAGTCCTGGTGAGTAACACCAAAGTCATTTTAGCT